GATAGAAGGAAGCAAGGCAGAATAACCTGGTGTTAATACGGACAATCACCCGTATTAGTGAGAATAGGAGGATTGGGGGCCACTTTCGTGTTTTGGTCAATTTTTTATTTTTTCTAAGTTCAAATAGATTAATAGAAGCATTTTGTTTCTATTTTGATCTATCAGGGCTACCAAGTAGCCTTGTCTGATATTGGGGTTCTGTGAAATGGTTAGGTTCAACAGGAGAATGCCAAGACCTACCTGTGCGTGCCTGGCCAGCTCTAGGAATGCCAAAGCCTTGTAAGCCACACCACTTCCCAGCCATCCAAAGTTGCTTTTCTAAAGTGGAGCGCCGGTGGCTCACGCCTGTAATCCTAGCTACTCAGGAGGCTGAGATCTGAGGATCACAGTTCAAAGCCAGCAGGGGCAGGAAAGTCTATGAGACTCTTATCTCCAATAAACCACTAGAAAACCGGGAGTGGTGCTGTGGCTCAAGCGGTAGGTAGAATGCTTGCCTTGAGCTGAAGAGCTGAGGGACTGCAGCCAGGCCCAGAGTTCAAGACCCATGAACAACAACAACAACAACAACAAAAGTTGCTTTTCTTTCTCTGAAATAAAAGTAAATTTTCTTGTAATGCAGACTAGGCTTTTGCTCCTCCAATGAAAGCAGAGCAAAGGTCATGAGCATAAAGTACCTCATCTGTAATTCCAAAACTCAGACAGCTCTGAACATTCACACTTTGCCCTTTATTAATTTGGCAATACAACCTGACTATAAACACTAGGAGGCATTTAATCTTTATCTACCCTCTTAAAGGTGAATACTTTACTGTTTTGTCATAGAAATCAACTGATTCCAAGTGCTTACCTGCAGCAGTGCTATATCTTATCTGTCCCTAAGTGTGGGCCTGTATCTAAGTTTCAGGAAATTGTCACACATTTGCTTTCTCAATACTAAGATGCTGTTTTAGCAAGTGTGCATGTGTTATAGTCATTTAACATCTATTACTGAATGTGCAGATTATGTAAGTAATAAATGCTACCTATATGCTTAAATTAGAAAATGACAGTAATAATATAAATGTCATTGAATGGGCCAAGTATTAGGCTAAACATTATACATATAATGTATCACTTAATTCTCTAAACACCTCTTATGAGTTAGAGTCTACCACTCTCCCACTTTTATAAATGAGGAGCTCTAGTTTCTAAATTTCCCATGGTTAAGGGACTTATATGTGAGTGAGGAGTTAAATAGAACCTTTTTTCCAGGGCTTGCATTCTATTCATTATTACTACTACTAGATGGCTTTCAGGGCCTTCTGCTTAATGCCACGTTATTGGAGAAGTACAGGAACCATTTCACCTGCTGTCTGAGCCTTACAGTCTAATCACAAAGGCCTATCAAAGATTTTATCAAAAAGAAACTTCGCTGATGGGACCCACCCAGATATGTGGCTTCAACGATTAGAGGTGGGACTGAGTTGTTGTTATGCCACTGAAATCCCAGTTGAAAATCACCTGGGGACAATGAAGATTACTACTGGGCTGCTGTCATCTATTGATTTCTTATTCATTATTCACTGTCTGGATTCAAATCATGACTTCTTCTGTTAGTATAGACTTAACTTATAGAAGAAAACTCAGTAAACCAAAACTTTAAAAAATCTTTCTTTTTTCTTTTCTTCCCCCATTATCCTCTTCCTTTTCCTCCCTCTTCATTTTAGGCTTCTCATTCTTTGTTTCTAAAGATACTTTTTCTTCATCTTTTCCCATGCCTTCTTGAATATATGCTTTTTTGTTTCTTGTCCTTCATTAAATTTCCCCTTTTTTGTTTTTTGTTGTTTGTCATACTTGCTTATTTATTGCAAACAATCCTGACAGTAAAATACATGTATTTTCTGTCTTTATTTGACTTTTATAATACAAGCCTTTCTATTTTACTCATATCAGAATTGTTCTTTTAATATGCTATGCAATTTCAAAGGAGGTAGATTACAATTTTATTTTGGAAGTGACCTTCTTTAGCAAATAGTTTGCTACAGGTCATTTATCTGTTTCATTGATGAGGATGAGATTGAATTAATTTATCCCACAGTTATTCATGAGCCAGATTTCAACCTAAAAAGCAGGTCAGAGTTCAAGCTCTAGAGGGAGGCAGGAAGTGGAGGAGATGACCTGAGGCTAACATAGCAACAATTCCTGACCAGGAAACTATACACCAGAAATGACCAGAAAGGAGACCAAATGCCTAAAGGCCTATGGTCAGAAAGAAAGCTACATGATAATGTAATGATCAGTCTAGGTGGAACCTTTCATTAGAAAACTAAGAGAATAAGGCAGGCCTAGGGAAAACAGATCTGAAGAAAATAAGAGAGAGAAAGGGCACACAGAAGAGGTAGAAGGCAGAGCCTAGGCAAACTAGGTGGCACACTGAAGATGGTGGCGGAACCCCGAGTTAGCAAGGGGTTTGGAGAAGGAAGGAGAAAGTAGTACTGGTGAAGTAATGGCTCACTTCTTTCTGGTAGAAGCAGAGGTACCAGTTCTTTACGTATATTTTTCTCAAGAATAACATCCATGTTTCAGATTATGACACAGGTTTACAAACTCAGATAAAACCTATAAGGAAGGGCATCAAACCCTCTACTTTTAAAAGTACACCATCTTATAGAATGAGATCATCAGGCCCTGAGTGTGATAAATGGATCTGCATGAGAACAAGCTCACCTAACTCTCATATTTCAGTAAGAATAAGTATATACCCTTCTATAAATCATGGCTGAACATAAATTTACATGGTTAGAATCTTTCAGTTTCTAAGTGTTTGCAAAAAATTATTTTTAGTTTTCTGAAAGCATTTTGTATCCTAAAGGCTTCATAACTTGTTTTCTATTGTACATTCAAGCTTACATAACCTTATTGTTAGATTTCAGAGCTAGTCAGTTCTGAGGCTCACCTCAAGTGAGTTGAGTCAAAGAGAATAGCTCACATCTTTTCCAACTTTTTATGTATTGCATCAATGAATACTTGGGATACTTTTCATAGAATTGAGTTCTATCAGAAAAAAATATGGACTGATAATCTATATACCAAAGAACCTTTTGATTATGCTTATGTGGGGTCTGCTGAGAAAATGTCTCTTCAGTGGCCTCGATAGGGCATCACACCTCAAAACACTGCAACCACAACCAAGCACAAACTCTACAAATCATGAACAAAGCTATTCTTCATAATCTTCCTATTACCACTTCATTAGTCAGCTAGAAAAAGCTGAAGGATCTGGTATAGCTGGGCATGTGATACTGCAATCATGTCTAGTGTTTTGAGTGCTGTTGAAAAAGAATAAAGGGTGTGTATGGGAGAAATGGGAGAAAATGGTAAAAGGGACAATAGCAATCAAAATACATTCCATTTTTCAAATTGCATGTTGAGTGGCAATCCTTTTGTGCAACTACAATAATAAAAAATTTTAAAAGGGAGAATGGAAGCACGTTCAAGATTTATGGAAGATTGTGAAATCACTTGAACTCTGATAGCTTTGGCATATGATAATGTTTATTTGTCTATCAGTTTTTATATATTGTACTTAAATGCTGTATAATTCTGCACCTTTCATTTCATAAAATATTTACAAGTGGCCCAAAACCAAGGACATTTTTTCTTCAAAAAGAGCATATTATTTTGAAACTTTAAATGTACTTATCATTTTGTGCTTCACCCTATGTATGTAGTAGATATGGTGCCAGTGATTTTCATATAATACCTGTAATTTTTAACAATGGAATTCTATTGAACATCAACCAAAAGGATGAAATCCTTAGTCCGTAACAACTACAACATAGTTGGTACCGGAGATCATTATGTTACATGACATAAACCAGGCATAGAAAGGAAAATTATCTCCTAGAAGCTAGAGTGGAATGGTGGTTATCAGAGACTACAGAGTAAGAAGGGCAGGATGGTGGCGGCTTGGTCAACCATTACTTAGTTACAGGGAGGCAGGAGCAAGTGTAAGTGTGCAGTATGATGACTACAAATTATAAAAACCAACATACATTTCAAAAAGTGGAAAGAGGATTGAAATGTGGATATAGTGGCACAGTATTAGCCTACCAAGGCTGAGATCTTCAGTTCAAGCTTGGTACCACCAACAAACAAATGACAATAAGAAATACGCTAGAAAAAAAGGATTATGAGATGTTTGAGGATACAGAGACATTTAACAGAATTTGAATATTATGCTATATACATCATGTTAATAACATGAAGATGTATGTTTATATTTATATGGATCAGTCAAAATACACTAACCAAAAGTTGAAATAACCTTGCAAAATATAGATCTGGTTACCTCTATTCTAGAGACAAAAGAGGCAGAAACTCAGAAAGATAAATTGCTTATTTACCCAACATCAAATAGCTAGTAATGGGCAGAGGACCAACATTATGATACAGAGTTACTGGTTCCAAAGTGAATTTTCACCACTGAAAAGAACAAAGAAATGAATTGTGAAAATCAGAAACATGAAGCAAGCACTTGAATATGAAGATGTTCAATAGGGTTTGCATTAAAAGACAAAATGATTTTAGCAAATGCAAACATTCCATTGCTTTGCAGGTTTAAAATTAAATCTTCATTTAAAATGTTAGATTTCATTTTAATTGGCAATCTAAAATGTGTTGCCTTCATTGGCTGTAGGAAAAGTTAAGTATTAGAATGCAATTTTTATTTTTAAAAACCTTTGTTTTTGCATCTGAGGTTATTTATAAATAATATTGGCTGTATTTTCCTTTATTTTGATCAGAAATTAGTTTCCTCTTCTTTCAAAAGTTTATCAGCTATTGATTTATCTTTGGGATCAGTCCGTCTACTGTTAATTTAAATTTTCTTCTCTGTTTATTTAAATATATTTCAAGAAGCACACTATTTTGAGTTAAGCTAAATGATGAAGTTTGACTGTATGTAAACATTATATTGCAACATTACATTCACTTTTCTATCCCAATATTTTAAAACTTAGATCCCAAGTCATTTGCAAAGGCATTTTCCAATGGTTACCTAATTGGAGAAGTCCTGAACAAGTTTGAACTTCAAGATGATTTTTCAGAATTTTCAGAGAGCAGGTTAGTGAGATTTTCTTATTTCAAAAGAGTCATTTCCTTAAGCATTTGAATATTTATTGTTCCAGGAGTACAAAAGAGAGAACGTTACATGGTTGCTGCAGACTTCATCCCCAGATAGTATTCATTTCAATATCTTCCATATATTCCTGCAATGATAGACAGTTATTTCCTCTTTTGTTAAATGATTCTTCCTTCTTTTACAGTTGAAATAGGATAGTATACCTTGTTATAGTAGGAGTATTCTTTGTGTTTCAAAAAAATAAAATTGACCTTAGCTAATAAAAATGCATAGTGTTTTAGCAGCTGTAATGAGATAATTCTTAGAACATGGCTTACCATTTTAAAGTACATTCATATATTAAATGTATTAGCAACCGTCACTACTAACTACTGAGCTCCTTGTTACATCCTAATGTATTTCTTGTCTGAATGAATCTAATCTACTTCAAGTGACACTACTTCCTGTTTACAAATTTGAATGTTCTAACAAGTTATATCAATGGAATAGGAAAATATATCACATTTTGTGCTTTTTTTCCACTTAAAGTAATGTTTTCAGTGGTTTTAAGGTCCATTAATATTATCGTTATTTCAAATTACTTATTTCAGTTATATGGGTATAGTATGTCATATTTCTTTTATCCATCTATAAATTGATGGGTGTTTGACTTTCAACCTCTTAGGAATAATGTGCATTTTGATTTTACGAAGATATGTTGAATCTAGTGTGTATTCTTCTGTGGGCAGTATATAATTAGATCATACACTGAATTCTGCTATATATTAGGATGTTTGCTGTCTCACAGATCTTTGTTATTCTTCCTTCTGTTATTCTTGATGATCCACAACAAATACATTTTATTTTAACCTGGTGCTTTCTGCTCAAATATTCCTTTGTTGTGTTTGCCTACACAGAGCCTCACCTATGTGGCAATATTTCTGAAGCAAAAATTCCCTAATGCTTCCATTGCAGTGATGAATCATTCTTTCACAAGTCCAGATGTGTTAGATGTGGTAAGGAGCATATGACACAATAGGCATCATACCAACCCCTTTTGTGCGAATCCTAGCCAGTTTCTTCAGTTTCTAGGGTGCTAGATATCATTACACTCTGAACCGACAGCTCCTATCACACGTCTCCCGTAAGGAGATGGAATACTAGCAATATCACAGTGAGCCTCAGCTGTCTCCTCGGCCTGAACTCCGCATATCCCTGCTGTTGCTACCAGGAGAAGCAGGAGCAGCCTTCAAAGTGTAAGAATTCCAGGATAGACAATGTCCATTTCCTCCCTTTAATTTTGTGCACTCTCAAGAATTCTCACATGCATAAACTGGCTTATAGAGACTTGGATAAAACCAGGTTTCTGATCTCTTTATTATTATTGTTTTTCCACTGAAAGGCATAGCAGTTTATGAAACAAGGAGGAGACTTGCTTTAACTGACTCCCAAATATCATCCATCTTCAAGTCTTGCATTATCCTACTATTTAAATAAAGCAAGGATGAATAGACCTATGGCTATGATCTTCATAATAGTGTGATTGGTGGGGAAAGATGCTTTGTTGTCAGTCCGTTTATAAGGCACTTTTGTAATACTTTTAATTTCTTTAATCTGAAAATAGTAAAACTATGTGCTAGCAAAACTTGAAGTCATGCATCTTAGAAATAACTCAACTTTAAGAGTAGTTCATCTAACTCAGAAATACTTCTCTTCCGAAGAATATTTTTGGGTTTTAATAAAAGCATGCCTATCACCAGTGGCTCACACAATGTAATCCCAGCTCCTCAGAAGGCTGAGATTTGAGGATTGTAGTTCAAAGCCAGCATGAATAGGAAAGCTTCAGAGATTCTTATATCCAATTAATCACCAAAAAGCTGGAAGTGAAGCTGTGGCTCAAGTGGTAGAGCACTATTTTGAACCAAAAATAAAAAGCTCTGGAACAGCACCCAAGCCCTGAGTGCAAGCCCCGTGACTGGCACTAAATAAATAAATAAATAAAGTTAAGCAGAAAACAGTGAGCAATGAGAAGATTCATTCAAAGGAAAAGTAAACAATGTTTCTGGGAAGTTAGGTGAGCCTACTTATCTTTCAAGAAGTATTCTCTGAGCTGGGCTCTGGTGGCTCTCTGGACAGATAGCAAGGAGGGAAGGAAGTCCCTTGGCACATAAGCACTACAAGTAGAGAGCAAGATGTCTTTTCCCAGAACATATTTCTCATTCCCTCAGAGACAATATTGACATCATATGCTCTGCCTCAAGAGCAGAGAAATCCCAGTAGTTCTTTTTTTCTGTGTTCATAAAAAAACAGCTATTGCTTATCTTGTTATGCTAATTGTGCACATGCTTTAATGTTATATGCTTCCACCAGTTTACACAGTTATGTTCCACAAGTACAACTTGATTGATTGGACTGGAAATTTAGAATATTCAGAAGAATGTATATAAAGAAGTCATGTAATACTTTTGAATACTTTGGCTAATCAATATAAAAACATTTAAAATCCTAATTTTTACATTAGATTGCATTCTGGAAGCCATGTAATATGAATGAGGGGAGGGACTATAAATATATTCTTTGATTTTCTTGAATACAGGGCTAAGCCTTGACAAAATTTGGAGATGGCCAATGTTTGCCTCCAGTGTTTGTCCCTAACTCATGTGGCACTATATGCAACCCAGAGCAAAGCTCTGACAGATGCCTCTCAAGTCCCCTCATCTCTAATACTGGCAAAGGGTGAGGCCTAAGGGTCTCATAACGACTGTTTCCTAAGACACTCAAAGCAATTGAAATTCTCTGTTTTGAGAGAGAACATTTTTGGTGGGAAGTGTATAGAACTTCAACTTAGATTGAAGTGGATTCAATTAATTTTTTACATTTAAAAATGTTGCTGAATGCTACAAGATAAGGAAAAAACATTTTGTGTCTAGTTTTCTCATTAAGGGGCATGAGAATTGAAAATATATTTAACATACTTTGCTTTTCATTTGTCATCAGCTTCATATCTTAACAGCCTTAAATCATTTGAAACTGCTACTGTAATCCTTATCTCCATTCATTACTACTTTGTAACACACCTGTCTTTCTCACTATTACACTGCTAAAGGCCTGTAACTATAACTGACTTCTTTCTTGCTTTCTGGCTTCTTGTCGGTTGTGGGGCTTAAACTCGGCCTGGGCGCTGTCCCTCAGCTCTTCAGCTCAAGGCTAGCAAGCACTCTACCACTTGAGCCACAGTGCCACTTCCATTTTTCTGAGTGGTTTATTGGAGATAAGAGTCTCACACTTTCCTTCCCAGGCTGGCTTTGAACCATGATCCTCAGATCTCAGCCTCCTAAGTAGCTAGTATTACAGGGGTGAGCCACCCCTGTATAGTGTTAACTGAAGGAACAAATTAATGGATTTCTTTTAGTAAAGGCATCTAAATATGCAATAATATAAAATATAGCTTCTAGTTAGAATGACTATTATTTTAAAGTAGCAGTACAAACTATATAATGATATATTAATTTATAATGATTCATAATTTATATATTAAATTTATAATGATATATAATTAATTTTATTGTATAAATAATATTTTAGTTAAATAATTTTAGCAATGCCTATGAGAATCATTGCTAGAAATTTCAACAAAGGATTTGAAATATCTTCGGATTCTAGCAATAATATCATTTAAAGAAATAGACATTAAGTTGAAATTTTGTCTTTAGAGTAAATATTTTTCAAAATTATAGTTAAAATTTTCCATATAGAAGAAAGAACTTAGTTACTTTTTGTATTTACTTCCTTTAAAAATTCTCAACTTAGAGCATTTAATTGAATAAAATTAGTGAATTGAATGTAACCATTCAAGAGAAATAAATGAAGTTCAGGTAGACTTATCTAATTTAAAAATTTCTCAATGTATTTTCATTCTGAGTGGTCTTACAGAGGAATGGTACATTTAAAAGAACATTGGACAGTTCATAATATTATATTAGGGTAAAACTTACAAAATTCTATGCTTATTCAGTACTATCATCTAATTATATGAATTATTTTAATGTCCAGGGTGGCTACTGCCAAACTTAATAATTTTTCCCGCTTGGAGCCAACACTCCACCTTTTGGGCGTGCAGTTTGATCAGAATGTGGCCCAAAGCATCATCACAGAGAAGCCTGGGGCAGCAACCAAACTTTTATATCAATTGTACATTGCTCTTCAGAGAAAAAAGAAAAGTGGACTGACAGGCATAGAAATACAAGCTTTGCAGCCTCAGACAACTTCAAGACTTCAAAACATGAAGAGCGAAGCTTTTCGAGAGGTAGGTACATAAAGATGCCTAACATCTCAACAAACTTGATACAGTGAAATAATGTTACATTCTCAAAACAATCTTACTGTGTAAATATGTTCCTATGTATGTTACTAGCCAGACTTAGTTTTTTTTTCATTCAAGCAGGATAATTATTTTGTATTGTAAAGGTGATGAACAGAAAAGGGTTATAGTTTCATAAGTAATGAGTACATTTCTTTTCAAACTTAGTTTTAAGATTTTGAATTCATTTATGCAGTTGTGATGTCGCCTTTTCTCCCTCTCCACAATTTTCATAGCTTTTCAAATTCTGCCCTCATTCTCAGTTGCTTTTTGTGCTAATGTGGTTACCTGATCTATTAATTGGTTCCCTGAATTTCAGAATTACTAATAGCGGCAAAATCCTTCCAGGTGTATCTCCTCTAAATTCCACATTCACCAAATTCTTTGGCTTAATCTCTATTTTAAATACATCCTGTTTTTAACTTGGATTGACCTTCAAAGCTTTTCACTAAACAGTGTCCACTCTCCTAACATTCTTCATACTTTCCAGGTAAAGTCCATATTAATTGACAGTGTATCCTTGAATATGAGTCATATATTCCTGTTCTTCCTTCCCTACTGCCTTCTCATTCTTTCTTCCTTAACTTCTCTTTTTACTTATGCTGTTCAGCCTTCTGACATACATAAATTCTCCCTGTAAGTCTCCTGATATTGGTATTGTTGAGTAACCATTTTTTGTCATATGACTCCAAGGATTTTAGTATTTCATCTCTGTGTATCTAGTACAATGGGTTGACAATTATACTTAGTAAATATGTTTAGATTAATTATTATAACTTTCAGTTAACAATTCTTCAAGTTCCTACTCTGCTTCCTTATAGTGATTGACGTACATTAACTTTTCCATGTTTTGGTGTTGATGAAAAGTACTAAATATAAATGTGGATAATTAAAATTTTAAGTCAATTTTTAAGGTAGAATTGACATGGTGGATATGACAACATCTCCACTTTCAGACTGATACATTCTTAATGGACATCTTTATAGACCTGGTAGCTAAATAGATTTACACAAATTGGTTTCTAGAAATTACATTAGGCTTACAGCTGAGTAATACAGAATTGTATCCTTCCTCTTTCACATACAAGCTGGTTAACTTGGAGCCAGTCCCTGAGAAACTTTCAAACTCTATTTTCTCAACTGTATAAACCAAGAAGGACTGTATCTACCTACTTGAACACTGCACTTTTGTATAACCTTAAAAAGTCCATATATAAACAAGTGGAAAGAATGTGCAATACTGTGTAAAGCCAGGGCAACCTTCCAGAGTCAATCATTAATCAGATATTTATTAGATCTCTACATTGTCAAGCACTTGCAAATGAACAATACTGGGAAAGTCTCGAACTCTTCTAGACTATATATTAGGAAGAAACAAATGTTTTTGTAGAATTGTATATGTTGCAGTGGTTTAAAGAGGAAGGTAGAAATGATGAAGAAGGGGGCATAAATTATTCTATCAATGAATGCAGAGGAAAAGGAAATGAAAAAATATGAACAATACTTGAGGCTTGCCAGAAGTATGAGACTATATATTTGATGGATATAGAAACTAGGACAACTTGTAACTTGAGAAATAAAGTCAGTAGTAGGAGATAGAAATGGTATAAGTGCCAAATGGAAAGAGATCCTCAGGGGAAGAAAAGAGTAAAAGGGAACCAGTGGTTTGTGCAGAAGAGGGTTTAAAGAAGTAGAGATGCTAAATCTGGACAGGCAGATTGCCAGTATATAGAAGTATTAATGATAACTGAAGTTTACTGATAGTACAAAGTAATATACCAAGCCCTAATCTGGGTGGCTTGTGCATATTATATTACTAGAGCTTCACAACTGCACATTGTGAAGTTTTATTTGTTCCTGCTTTACAGATGAGGAAACTGGGCTACAGAGGGGCTAGGCAACTACTAGATTGTTGTATGCAGCTAGTAGACCTGAAACTCAAGCCTAGGAAGCTTTAATGTTTAATGTTTTGCTAGGCAATGATTGAATAATGGGAGGAAGCAGGATGCTTTTATTATCTTCTACATATTGGGATACTCTTTATAAGTTATTTTGTGAAAATGTATTTTGTGAGATATAAATACTGTTCATTTTTTCTGTAGATACTTTTAGTTTTTAAATTATGTTTAAGTAGTTGCGTGAAGCAGTTACCATTTAACAAAGCTATTTATGAATACAATATACATCTGACTGATAGTCATCCCTTTCCACATTCTTAGTCATCCCTCCCAACTCAACCATTCCCTCACTTGCTTTTCTTAACTTCATAGTATTACATGAATTCTTGACTCTGTCCCCCCACTCCTTTTCTTTATATATAGAACAGAGCTGGAGAGCCTTTATTAATTTCAAAAAATCATACTGCACAGCAAGAAAAATAATCATGAATTACAGAGACATTTCAAGATAAAAATTAATAATATGTATACATATATATGCAAGATGATATAAACAACTTTAATTCACATGTGCCTAGTAAACTATCAAATGAGAAAAAAGAACTATACAAAGAAATAGACATATTCCTTATAATATAGAAATTTTAACATCCCAGTTAGTAATTGAAAGAGCCAGCAGGTAGAAAATGAGTGAAGGCATATTTAGACTGAATACTTAACACTTGCAAAACAATAGCAGAACACAAATCATCATCAAGCTCAGTGGAACCATTACTGTGGATCATTTCTGCACTCGAAACCACATTTTAGCAAATTAAAACAATAAAAATCAAAATAAATATGCTCTAAAATAACAATGGTATAAAACTAGATAGTAATTACAGAAAGCAAAGCAGAAAATTCCCAAGGATTTGGAGATCCAAAACACAGTTGCTTCTTTTTGCAATTTCCTTTAAAAAATAGTATTAGCATAGGGAAATTATACAAAGGGATTTCATTGGAATATTTACAACATGTATATAATAGACATTGATCAAAAATACAAAATAAATGTTATTCTTTATTGACATATATGTATATGCCATATACCTGTAATATACATGTCATATATATGATAGATGTGATATATATGGCACACATGACACATATGCTCTGTATTGTAGCACATGTGACAATGCAACACATGTGCCATATATGACATGTTGATACAGTGGCACATTGCCATAAATCACATACACAACACATCACTTTATGTCACATATATGTAACAGATCATGTGTGTACCGCCTGTCATGTAAATGTCATATGTATCACACATGACACATTGACACAAAGCATACTTTACATATGTGGCATGCGGGCCATGCATGCCATATGTATCACAAGTGTCACTCATGCCATATATGTAACATGTGTCATGTGTCGTGTGTATCATGTGTCATGCATGTCATTTATGGCACATGGGTCATATGCCTGTTTGGGTGCCATGTGTACTATACATGTCATGTGTGTCACACATGTCACATGTGTCATGTGGCGCACATGTCACATGTCACATGTGTCACCTGTGTGCTGCATATGCCACATATGCTATGTGCACCACATGTCGTGTGTGTCATGTATGTCACACCTGCTATATGTGTCACATATATATGACATGTGTCGTGTATATGACATATATTCCATATTTGTGACATTTATGTATGTCAAGAATAACATACATTTTGTATTTTTTAATCAATGTCTATATATTCATGCTGTAAATATCCCAATGAAATCCGTTGGTAAAGTACATATATTGACATCTCTATAATTCTTCTATTGGATTTATTATTTATCACATCTCCTTTTACTTTCACCCTACCTGATGACCCTCCAACGTTTCCATTTATTTATTCATTGATTTTGTTGTAAAGGTGATGTACAGAGGGGTTGCAGTTACATAAGTAAAGTAATGAGTGCATTTCTTGTTGAACATTGTTACCGCTCAGACATTGTTATTAGGTGAGAAGGAATTCAGCTCTGGTTTTTATTGGCCTTAGATTGATATTCAATACAGTTTGCAGTAATTTGACCTTCTAACAGTGGAAACGCATAGACATTTTATTTTGAAGACAAATCTTATGTATGTTTATAATGTATGCTTGTTCTCTAGTAACAGAATCTTCTGAATGCTTTCTTCATTTAGAAACTTAAAAACCTGATACCACGCCAAACTGATTTCAATCTGATGCGGGTTACATACAGGTTTCAAGAAAAAGTTAAACAGATGAATGAAGATCTTGACCAAATGCACTTTGAGGAATTTGAAAAATTTCAAAAAATCAAGGAAGACCAAAGATGTTTAAAACTCAAAAAGGTTTTATAGAACAATTTTTTCCAGAAATTCATTAGTATATAGTATACTATTTGTAATGTATGCCTATTGATACACATTGCATAAGAAGTAATATAGCACAATATGCATTTTCCTGATGCATGGCTTTGCCTTGCCTGATCTACCCTTCCTTTCCCTGCCTTTGCTCCTTCTCTTTATGTTCACCCTTGCTTCTTATTGGTACTTGCTTCTTATTGGTACATCTACTTTTGGCTGAGAACAGTAACTGTCAATCCCTAGAGTGTCAGAACAAGTTGCTCTCTTTCATTGGTGGAAATGTATGCTTCAGCTGTTTGAGGATGATGGCTTGCTATTAGATATCCTAATTTTCAAAAATCCATAACCATTGTCCACACTAAGAGAGATATACTTGGCATTCTCCCTATGCTTCTTTATTCTTTGCAATTTTTTTCTGCCCATCTCATTTCTCTCTTATAGGGTAATTCTGTTTGTTGCCCTTTGAAACTGTCGCTTTAAGAATATCTTTTAGCTTCTTCGTCCTTGCTTGTTCCTCTGACTCCTGTTGCTTCTCCAAGTCCTTTGAAAATCTTTAATGATCTGTACCTTTAAGGATATGAGAGGGAAATAATATATGGGATCATTAAAGAATTTAAAAAGTATCTTAAGTGGCTTGGCATATGGAATGTGTGAACTAAAGGCAACAGAGCTGATTTTTCCTGTTGAGCTACAAAACCACTTTTTAAATTTATGTGTTTAGGAAAATAAGAAATCAATACATCCTGAATATAGCCAACTCCCTGTAGAGAAGGAGGGAACAATGAGAGGCCAGATCTAGAAGCTCTGATTCTATTATTAGTTGCCAGAGAAAAGCACTGCACTTTCTTTTAGCATTCCATGTTGGAACCAAATGCTCGGAGTCATTTATATGGAATCATCCATTCCAAGCTTTAACGTATCAAATCGAATGCAGAAAACCACCAGAGTTGTAGAAAAGGAAATATGATGCCATTAAATACTTAGAAATTAATTTTGTTGAAAATGACCATAGGAAGTAAATATGACAATAGAGAACCTAGTATCTATAATAATTAAGAAAATTTTTACATTTAGAAAGTGAAATGAGGACTATTAAATTGTTAACAATGTCTGTTTTAATAGTAAGTTAAATTTTTTATCATTGAATATAGGTGATAACCTTAGTATATTTCTATAAACTATAATGCTTTAGCAGTAAATTCCTGAGTCTTTCATATGTTGCCTTATAAATAATTTATTTAAAATAATTTTATCTGATATTAGTCTTGCTTTCTTTGAGTTATATTCTTTTGTCTCCTCATTAAAATAACTACTTACCTACTGAAGAGGTGATTTAATAATGACAGATAATTTAATGTTAATTTTGTGTCTGAGGTCTTTTCTAAACTTATGAACCTATATGGCTCGGGGAAGCCCTCATTTCTGTGGGGCGTCCACAACTCAGAGCAGTCTTCTAGGTGTTATTTTCCCTACAGAAGATTTTTAGGTTTTTTTCTTCTCATGATTGGGTAGGTCATGAAGTTGGGACTGGGAAACAATTGTACTTTTCATTGCATTTGAAACACTTTCATGATCTATTAGTAACAGTACACAGAAGGAAAATACATTTAATAGGCATCATTTGAGAATTGTGCTTTATGATACTTTTCAAAGAATGCTACTGACAAGTGTTTCCTGATTAGACAATTGTAATACCTAGTACCACGCCTACTTGCCAAGTTCTGAAATTTCCCACAGACAAGTTGAATATATATGTATCTGTACATGTCTTACATTGACTATTATGCTGAACAATGACATAACTAAACTAATGTATATGGGATACTCAGCAACGCTTAAGCAGAAGACGACAAAATGAAATAATGGCCAAAATTCAAGCAGCTATCATACAGATTCCTAAGCCTGCAGCAAATCGTACAGTGAAAGCACTTGAGGCCCAAAAAATGATGAAAAAGAAAAAAGAGGCAGCGGTAAGTGATAAAAGCCACTTAGTAAAGGAAAATATCCTTTACTGTTGTTGTGTTATGTTTATTTCAATTAAAGAATGATCCTTCAAACATGGGCATTTTGCAGCATGTCGATAATCCCAGAAGGGAGGGGGCAGAAAAACTAGGATTTTGAGTTTGAGACCAGCCTGGGCTATATAGGAAGACTCCCTCTGTCTCTGTCTCTCTGTCTCTCTTTCACACACACACACACATACATGCATGCACACACGCACACACACACACACACACACACACAATGATCTTTCAAAAAATCACATAGACAAACTTTTCAAAACTATTATTTTCTCTTCAAATGATCTCTGACCTTGGTACTTCTTAATCATAATTTCCCCATCAAATCCATATTCAATCTATTTTACAGTGTTGTTAACAGACTGTAGCTTTAAGCTAGGCTTGTCAAACACTTTGAAATTGACTGTATCAGTCACAACTGGTATGCTTATGATTCTATGATTGCTGATAAAGTAGCTGAAGATGAGTGATACTCTCCTGGATAATTACTGCCCTGGGTACAGCCAGGGTCAGGTAAGATCCACATACTATGTGCGTGCCATTCCTCTTCATCATGTAGTACTATTTTACTATCAATCCCAGAAATGTTATGTAACTTGTTAATGTTAAAAATAAGATACTTACAGTAATGATGTTTTCTAGACTACATCATTAGTCACGTCAATAGGAATTTGATTACAATTTGTAGGAGAGCAATATTGTGTTTTAGGGTTAGTTTCTCATGGTCTATATTATCTTATGTGACCTAAAAGAGGACTAACAGCTGTCAATTAGTGAACATATATTGTTTGTCGGGATGTAGATTAGTGCTCCCCATCATCTTTTTTTTTAATTTAATTTTTTGTCAAGGTAAAGTACAAAGGGTTTACAGTTACATATGTAAGCTGGTTAGTACATTTCTTGTCAAACATTGTTACCCTTTCCTCGTTTCTCTCCTACTTTCCCTCCCTCTCAACCTCCTCTAAGCTGTAAAGTTCATTTCCAACATATTGTCCTGTGAGTATCGCTGTTGCATTGGTTCACCCTTTGTCCTTTGTCTCACCTTTTTGTTGTTCCACATCAGCTTAAACTCACAAATAATGCTTGAACTCACTTGTTTGAAGTAAGTAAGAAGGCTGAGATCCAGAAAGCTGACACGTTTTCCTATGTTTCCAGCACTGGCAAAAAGATGGTTGCATCATTCTGATTTCTACATCTGTTGCATTTGAAATTAATACACATTTCTTTCTTTAAAACTACATGCAAAGTATCTTCCACTATAATACTAAGCAAATGTTACACACAGAAGCATTTTGTGAGCCATTTTAGTATTTAAACCTTCAATTTCTTTGAAATAATTGAAGCTCATTAGTAAAGAATTGTAAAATTAGCTAAGCTAATTTTCATGGAAAAAATTAATAGTATAAATAAGATTACATGAGAAATATAATCTCATGTAACATGAGAATTGTTTGAGTTGAAACAACTCAAACACTAATTTCTTACAGAAATATTTATATCCAAAAGGAACTTGCCTGGCTCATCATCTGCATTTTCATTAAATGCCCTTTGACTCACTTAATTCAAATCATGAACTGAGTGATTTCTGTTAGTCAATTTTCATTGTCTTTTATGAAGTTAGCCTAGTCCAAGGTGATAAATTAGAATGACCAAATGATTCCGGCATATAGAATTTAGTGACTTAGCTACTGGTTACCTTGAATTAGTAATGCGTGTCACCTTGTAATCCTGGGTGATCCTGGTGAATGAAATTTTCCAATGGATTTTGGAAACAGAACTGATGATGAACTTTCTTTAAAGGATGTGGCCAATGAAATTAGGAACTTTGAGGCATTAATAAAAAAGGATCTTCAAGCAAAAGAAAGGTAATTCTAAAACTGTTTTCTATGCAACACTTTTGAATATTTACAAACATTTTATTTAGAACTGCTATTCCAAGATCTTTCACTTTGGGAATTTTCATCAACTAAAGTAAAAGGGTTGAGCGCATGGCTCAAGTTGCAGAATGCCTGCTTAGCAAATGTGAGTTTTAAACTCTAGAACTGCATATAAGTAATTAACTATAAATAAATAAGTGCCTTACCATATCATTTTCATAAATACTAACATTTTTCCTAATACTAATTTTCTTAAACCTTTATAAGTAGATAGGGTTAAACTCTGACTGTGATTTTGGCAGCTGCATAGTTTGGTGCCCAACTCCAAAAAGTTTCACTGAGCATTGAACCCTGTTGATAAAATAAGCAGAAATTTAGTGATTGATTTTTACATTGGCACAGTGATTCTTAGCATAGTATTTGAAATTTAGCAAACATCAGCATTTTGCCAGGCATCCTAGCCACATATACAGAGAAAAAGTAGAGAGATGACTTTTCTTATGAGCTCAGAATTGAGCTGGAAGCAGCAGACCTGCGAATTATGGTCTATAATTCAATACTATCTGTACTATAAATAGGCAACTATCCCATCATTTAACATTAGTTAACTGTGCTTTTATTCAAGTACCTTTCTACATCATAATGATTGTTCCCGACATACTTTAATAATATGTCCTTGTTTCTGTGAATTAAATTAAATAAAGCATATTGATTATGCATAATATTAGAACAATGACTATTCCTAATATAAAAATCATTTCCTGGCAAGAAATCATATGGAACAATTTATGCTATTGTATTTTTAAAGAGGAATGTGTGGATTAAAATTGGTGATGAAACAGTTATGCACATAAAATTCATCTTTTTTTCTTTTTTGCATATATTTTCTTTCCTATTTTAAAGTTGTATCTTTGTTTTGAATGATAACTTTTGAGTGAGTGAAAATTCTATACTATGCTTCTATCTGTCTCATTAAATTTAATGTGTTTATTTTCTTTGGGGAAGACCACCAGGCTCTTCCTGATTCTTTAAGTTTTGGATGTGAGGTAAAGTAAGAAGCCAGGTTACAACTGTATTTTTGGGCATGTCATGACAAACAAGTCAACTCTCATTTTCTGAGTTTACCAGGAGGGTTGAGTAATTCCTGTAGGTAGCCAGAACTTCATTAGGGAGTTCTTGTGCTCTAATAGGAGAGGGAGAATGGTAGTGAGTGGAACCAACCATGTATACGGTAACCTGTGTCCCATACTGAACAAGTGTGTTATCAATAGCCTGCCTAATGTACACACAAAGTAAGTATAAACTTGAAGTAGGAGGTCCCAGAATCAACAGAAAGATGATGAAGGAAATTCTAGAATATCTATGTAGACTAAAGATCATTGAGGGAAAAAAAGACAAAACATGATAGGCCTTTTAAAGGGGTTATGCAGAGAATCTCACAGAGAAAGAGCAGAAATGACATAAAGCTGTGGGTTTTATACTGGAAATCTAGTATTTGCTTCAATGTTTTTATTAGTGAACTAACAAAGAACTCAGGGGACCTTTCTTAGAGGTCTTCTGAATTCACAAATAGAGACATATGATCGCATTACTTTTTTAATCTAAAAACTTTTGTCTCTAGTTCTTCCAAGAGTTTTTTAGATACAACAGACCAGATAATTTCAGATTTGTTAAACACTTACTCGGATGATGACTACATTAAAAAAATCCAGAAGCGCCTGGAAGAAGATGCTTTTGCTCGAGAGCAAAGAGAGAAAAGACGGCGGAGGTTGTTAATGGACCAGTTAATAGCTCATGAAGCCCAGGAGGTAATACATTTAATGCTGGTTAAATAATAATAGCATTGGGAACTTCACAAAACATACTACAGGCAAATCTCTATCTTATTGCTTATATTATCTGCCACTGTTCATGGTATAGTGTCATGTCAAAACAGCAAAAAATATTTATGAAGAAATCAAAACCTACATATTTACTAAAGAATCTAAAATCTAGTCACGGTAACACAGAATTGTACATTTACTTAGTCGAATTGTCTATTTAAAAATCACTGAAGTGAACTGGGTGGCTGTGGCTCACACTTGTAATCCTAGCTATTCAGGAGGCTGATATCTGAGGACTGTGGTTCAACAGGCAGGAAAGTCCCCATGAGACTCTTATCACCAATAAACTGCTCAGAAAAGCTGGAAGTGGTGCTGTGGCTCACATGGCAGAGCACTAGCCTTGAGCACAATATGAAACTCAGGGACAGCACCAGGCCCCGAGTTCAAGACCCAGGACTGATCAAAAGAAAATTGAACTGATAGATTCTATATTTTGCATATTTTACCACAATAAAAATACAGATGCAAAAAGGAATCTACACTAGATATTTTAATTTACTGTTACTTTTGGAGGTCAAAGAACTTTATAGTGAAAACAACAAAGAAAAGATGGTTGTCCTTGCAAATTGTCCATTAGTGTACATCAGTGCTTCTCAAGGTATGTTTTGTGGATCAACAGCATCAGCAACATCTGAGAACTTGAAGGAAGACATCAGATTTTCTCATTATTCTGAACCCACACAGAGGAATTAGATAGTTGCAGGGTGGAGGCCTGGAGGAGATTCTGATGTAGCTGCAGTTGAAGAATCACTGACCATCTCTTATATTACTTAGACACTCACCCTCCTCTGTGCTCCAGATACTGTAGGAGGTCCAGAGACTCCATAATGAGCAGAAACATTAAGAAATTTGGTCTCAGAGAACTTGTCAGGTAGGAAGCTCTGTGAGTAGGCAAGAACATTCAAGAGAGAAAGTGAGTTGAAAGTAATGGGCAAGTAGATGACAGAAGACAGGGGTCCCTGGCTTGGTTCAGGGGATGCTGTGCTGTAGATAAGAACAGAAACATGGAGGACAGCCAGGAGCTCACTGACTGAAGGTGGGAGTGGAGGCAGAGGAAGAGGACAGGGTGGAGGTGCAGCTTCCAGGGGCTGTGGAAATGCTGCAAGGTGAAGTGTGGTTTCAGAGAAGAGACTCTCACAGGAGATTCAGGGCTTTCAGATAGCTGCAAGTCACCTCTTCTGGCAGTATTTCTAGAGACCAAATCATCATGAGCTCTTTTCAGAGAAATGGAATGGTTCATTGCTTCTTAGTTGACTGCCTAGACTAGATCCATAATAAATGGAGAATTAAGCAAATGGTGGTAGACCTAAATAAGCTCCTAACTTTAGCTCATGGAAGAAGTAGAGGCCTTGACAGTCAAATTGAGACTGTTACAGATCTATTGAAATCCCTCTGCATACAGTAAATGTAATCAGAATAACCATTTTCTACTTTATTCATTTCAAACATAGGATATTTTGTCTCTTGTAGGTTTGTAGGCTTTCCTGAACACCTAACAGTAACTTACACCTGAGTTTCTGTGAGAAACTATATCCTTCATTTCATTCCATTGAACCTTTGGGGAATTAAAATTCATTTGGAATAATAAAGCAACTTCCAATTTAAAATGTAATGGTACTTTGTGACCCTTAAACTATCTCAGCATTGCAGTAGAAACTTGAGGCTAGCCTCACCTCCATGTTTTCTTGTTGTTTCATCTGGACTTGCTCAATGTCTGTGGTCAATTGGTGGCTGGCTGAGGCCGGCAGACACACAAGATTCTAGGAGCCCTTTTTGTAAGGCTAATGCCTCTGTAAGGTCTTATTTTTTGGTCCATCAGGCGATTCACACAGTGGTAGCCACAGACCCAACTGCCTTTTTATAGTTATACTTTTTTTAGATTTTGGCTGATGTCCCACTGGTCAGATTAAGATCGACACTTCCTTTCCTCGTATTTAAGGAGTAGAGAAATAGGTTCTGTGTTTTGATGAGCATAGCCATAGGGTAACATGAAAAGCTGTGAATGAAAAGACATGAGGAACTTGAGGCCCTTTTCACACTTTGTCTCCACTTTCACTACTGAATCTTAAAAGGAAACCAATGACTCACATTATACTGTTTTAACAGTGAGATTTGATCTAACCCCAGTGAGAATAAAGAAAACAAATCAAGAAAACAAATGTGGGCAAGCACCCAGGCAAAGGAACCCCTAAATACTACTAGTGAAAATGGAAATAAGTATGGAAATCAGTATAAGGTATCTTAAAAAATTATAATTAGAACTGCCATATGAGCCAGCTATACCATTCTGGGCATATCTGAAGGAAAGTAAATTACCATACAATACACCTGTGTTTATTGCAGCACTATTCACAATAGTGAAGCTATGGAACCTGCTTGCATGCTCACCAATGGATGAATGGATAAAGAAAATGTGACATATTACACAAAAATGTACTAATCACCAGAATGAAGAATGGAATTGTCATTCTCAGGAAAATTGATAGAATCTGAAACTATTAGGTTAAGTGAAGTAAGCCAGATTCAGAAGAACAAATGCTATATAGTTTTCTCATATATGAAATTGGGATCTAAAATAAATACATGAATAAATCAAGAAATGAATATAAAAGGCAGACTAATGAGTAGAGAATCAGATGGAGGAAGGAAGGGAAAGGGAAAAGGCAAGGGGCACAAAACGTGATTAAAGTTGATTCTATGCACATACCAAAGAATATATAAACCCCTGTTAAAAATTCTGTAAGGAAGTTTTAAAATTGGGGTTGGGGAAGAGAGGATAATAAAAAGTTGTAAGCAGGCTTCAAACTTGTAATTGTAGCAAGTCAGGAGGCTTGAGATCTGAGTATTGATGTTGAAAGCCAGCCTAGGCAGGAAAGTCCTTGAGATTCTTACCTTCAATTAATCACCAAAAAACCCAAAGTGGAGCTATGGCTCAAATGGTAGAATAGTAGCCTTGTGCAAAAAGCAAATGGTGTCTAGGCATTAAGTTTAAGCCCCAGGAAAGGAACACACTCTCATACACATACACAAGAAAAAGTTATAGAAGATATGTCTATGGAAATATCACAACTCCTCTCACTTTGGAGACTCAATGTACACAAAATTAAATTTTTGGTACATCCTGAGTTTGAACTCAAAGAATCATGCTTACTAGGTAAGTTCTCTACAACTTGAGTCATACCCACAGCCACAAAATTAATTTTAAAACACATTAATATGAATTTTTAAAATATTTGAAAGAAGATGCAAGAACAAATAGTTGAACTTCAGCTGAACTGTAATTCACATTTCCAAAAAATTCCCAGGTGAAAGTTTCATAAAATATTATTTGTGTCTTAATTTTGTTAAATAAATAATAATTCTGTAGTCTCGTAAATTTGAGAACTATAATTACTTCCTCTTTCCACATGAGGTCTCTGTTTAGACATTAAGTGAACTTGTTGGGCCCTGGGAAGTCATCTTCCACCTAAACCTCTCCTTGTGACCTATCAAGAAATTTCCCTGTAATACTAAGTTATTTGCCAAAGCTACATAGCCAATGAATGGTACAGCTGGGAACAGCACCTGGATTCACTATTTTCAAGTTGGTGCTTTTCCCACTGTACATTTACTGGTCCTCCCCTTCTGTTCTCTCTTCTCCTAAAACAGCAGAGTTCATCTGTTTTGAGACTCTAGCCACACAGATTTTCTCTTAAAACAAGCAAAAGACCATTTCTATTTGGTCTGGCCTCTCTATTCTTTATATTCTGTTAGTTTTTAACTTTTCCTCATATTAGTATTGAACTAACTCTATGGGAAATAACCAGGACTACTGTCTTTTCATGGGCAATAACTGCATCTGTTTTATAACTACTTGTTACCTTAAAATAAAAATATCATATTTCTAACCAGCTGAAAACATTCTTATAACTAAACAATTTTGTCAGTGATTTAAAAACTTTGAAGAGAATGTCTAATTTATTTTGATCATATTTTTGGCATGCATTTTTTATTGTCAAGGTGATATACAGAAGGGTTACAGTTACATAAGTAAGGTAATATGTACGTTGTTTGTCAAACTTGTTACCCCTTCCCTCATTTTTCTCCTACTTTCTCTCCCCTCCACCACTCAGATCATTGTTGTACAGATCATTTCCAACATATATTCTTGTGGATATCACTGTGGCATTGGCTCTCACCTTGTCCTTTGTTTCACCATTCTGTTATTCCCCTTCCCTAATTCAAATAAACATATGTACAATACCAGTGTACAAAAATTAAATACAATGACAACAGGAGATATACTATAGGGGGAAGAACATACAAAAGAAACAAAAAAATCACATAGTACATTAAAAACAACAAAGAAAAACCTCTTGTGTCTGTGTCTTGGAGTTCATTGTGCTTAGCATCATCTTATATGGTCATATGTACATAGCTATTGAGCTCATAGCTAAGATATGGAATCAACTCTGATATGCCCCTCAGTAGATGAATGGATCAAGAAAATGTGGTATGTACACACACACACACACACAATGGAATTCTATACTTCCATCAGAAAGAATGACACTTCCCTATTTGTAAGGAAATGGAAAGATGGAAAGACTTGGAAAAAAATCATATTAAGTGAAGTAAGCCAGACCCAAAGAAATTTAAGTCCCATGGTTTCCCTTATTTTCAATAATTAGTATACATCTAGGATAATATTTTGATCATATTTTAAGGGTAAAATTCATTTAAGTTAATTGTAATTTTCAAGACCATATTGTTTCTAAATACTAAAATTATGCAGCATCTGTTGGGAATTTTTTTATTTTTCAGCTTGTGTTTTTGATATGTTCAGGTTGAAATCAAGTAACAAAAGTTGTTTTAGGTAAACTTGATGCCTTTTATAGAGTATTTGTGGATAGATCTGTTAGCCTATTGGGGAATCTGGACTTGGCTTTGAGGAATCATTGGCTTTGGTTTCACAGGAAGCCTATCGCGAGGAGCAGTTGATTCACCGGTTGATGCGCCAGTCCCAGCAGGAACGCAGGATTGCTGTTCAGCTCATGCATGCTAGGCATGAAAAGGAAGTTTTGTGGCAGAACAGAATTTTCAGGGAAAAACAATACGAAGAAAGACGTCTCAAAGATTTCCAGGATGCTCTTGATCGAGAAGCGGTAAGCCAAATCTCCCTTAAAAATCTTCCTGGGGTCCTTTTTAAAACTTTCTGTGAAGCAAAGCTGTCTTTTATTATCTTTTGCTTAAGAAGAATTCATTTTTTGTGTGATCTGCCTACTATCTTCCCATTTTTTATTTCTTCATAATTACATGACACTTTCTTCCTTTAGTCTTTTTTTTGTGGCCAAGCCCCCTTTTTGAAGAGTGACAGGGACAGTTTTTTTTTTTTTATTTGTGAACATACTGTACAGAGGGGTTACAATTACATGGGCAGGATAATGCGTACATTTCTTACCAAGCATTGCAGCCTCCTCCTTTGGTTTACCCTTCACATCCCTTCCCAGCCTCCCCCCTCCCCCCCAATCCCAACCCTTCTCCTTCCCCCCCTTCCCCCCCCCCCCCCCGAACCGACGTTGTAAAGCTCGTTTTGGACATGACAACTTATACTTCTCGTTGTTGCATCAGGTCCACCTGTATCCTTAAACAACTGGTTTTTCCCCCTTCTTCCTTTAGTCTTAATTCGCCTAGTTCCTAAGTTTGTAATGTTCCCCATCAGTCCTGTGTTCATGTGTCTCATGGATTAATGTGCTTGTTTTCCAGATAATTCCCCAGGAAAGACCTATGCACAACAATATTCCCTGAGTTCTTCTAGATTGATAATAGACTGTACCTCCTCTACTGTCAGTTTTGTTAGCAATAACATACTTGGTTTGACTTTTTTTACTTTGCTTATCTGAAATATGTCACTATTTCTTCAGGCATAATATAATGCTGTTAAAAAAAAACCCTGATAATTGTCTAATCCTTTCCTATGTTCCTATTCATTTCTTTGAATCATGACTTTCTTTTTCCACAAATGCCCAAAGGACTTTCCTTTTTTCTAAAGTCTATTAGTGTTACTAGGTAAACACTAATGTGGCTTATTCTAGGTGAATAGTCTCAGCTAGTGATAGCTTTTACACTGTTTCAACAAGGCACTGTGGGGTTTTTAATTTAAAATTTTTCTGCTTTCTACTAGACAATATTTCTGAGATCCATATAGCATTCCTCTTTTCTTTCGATCAGAATTATTCATTTACCTGGGTACTCTAAGAATGCAATGTCATTGAGAATGGTGCCCTGCTGCTGAAGTCTGGCTCCTCTCCAATCCATTCTATGTGAAAGAGAATCTTTTGAACTCTGGTTTGATAGCTGCCATCCTGTCTGGAATCCCACCAACAACATATCCCTCCATCTCCTAGCTCTTTCCTGATCCCCAAATGAGGCATTTCTTGCATCTTTCTTCTTCCGGACCTGTGCCCTTATCCAGCTAATATTCATCTTTCAGAGCTCTTTACAAATGTCATGTCTTGTCTACATCAGGGTTCCCTGTTGTGTAAGCTCCCTACCTTCATTTTAGATCTAGGGCCACTTGACACGCACTGCCAATTAGTCATTTATTCCTGTGGCTTTTTGACTTTGCATATCCCAATTAGCATGAAAGCTCAGGAGTAAGCCCTTTGCTTCTGGTCACTGTTTCCTAAGGCTTAGTCCAGCTTCTGTCACAGTTCAAAGAAAAAGGAAAAACAAACAAAGTAGTGAGGTAAGGAAATGGGAGAACTTTGTGTTTTTTACACTGAAGAGATTATTTTTTTAATTTGTTTAATTTCTAGATTAAATCTAATAATCTCTTACTACATGGCAATTGAGCAGCCATTCTCCATTAAGACAATTCCAGGTCCCCAAATTATGTGCCATCAACTTGTATCAGTACTATTTAACTACAGTCCAGTTTAAAAACTTTTTGGAGCATTTGCTTTGAGCCAAGCATTATCTATGCTTGCATGCATATGAAATCCTTGCAATAGCCACAATTAGACACTTCCTTATGTGCATTTTAAGTACAAGGAAAATGAAGCTTAGAACACTTAAGAAGTTCCAGTTTATCAATTCCACAGCAAGAGCAATGCCTGTTCTATGAAACTCAAGAGTGCAAGCTCACAATCCCTGAGACTGATTACCTCCCACGGGCTTCCTTTTCCTTTCCTCCTTTCCAGTATAGATTACAGCCAACTTTAATGTAAGAAGACAGGAAATTGTGGTGAGGTGAGCCAAGTTGATAGTAGGTAGAAAAGAATGAGAAGACTGAATAGCTCTAGCAGTTCATTTCATATAGTTTTCTACACGGGAGGAAGGAGGAGATGAGTGAAAGTATGGCAGGAGGGAGACAAGCAAAATTGAAAGCTGTTCTGTTATTGATATGGCCATTTCATTCTTCTCAAAGTTTTGGTTCTATCACATCGCAAAAATTTCCACATATTTCACTAGCAAACCAAACTAATGATCAATTTTTCTTTCACTCTCTCCATAATGAATGCTCTAATATTCCTGGTGTCTTAGATTCATTTTTTCCTCCTCACATTTCATGAAACATTCCGTAAAGCTTTGCACCTAACTTATATGCTTTACCCATGAAAATAAAAACAAGAATGGTAAATTCATGTGTAATTCTGGACTCTGTGAAATATATTGAGTTGACTTACAAGTCATGTAGCCCAACCAGTTGCCTGTCAAAAAAAAAATAAAATAAGCTTGTAAAAATAAGCAGCAGCAGCAGCAGCAAAATAATAATAATAAACCTTACATAGAAACCTACTGTCAGACATCTAATCATTTAAGAATGGTATGATAAGCTGGATGCTGGTGGCTCACACCTGTAATCCTAGCTACTCAGGAGGCTGAGATCCTCAGGAGGCTGAGGATCACAGTTCAAAGCCAACCCAGGCAGCAAAGGACTCTTATCTCCAATAAACCACTAGAAAACTGGAAGTGGCGCTGTAGCTTAAGTGGTAGAGCGCTTGTCTTGAGCTGAAGAGCTGAGGGACAGCGCTCAGGCCCAGAGTTCAAGCCCCAAGACCAAAAAAAAAAACGAATAGTGTGATACAAAATACTTATTCTCAGAAGATAATTGGGTTTTTCTCTGAATGCTAGGAAACTGGGGCTTAAAGGGGCTGAACAATTTGCCCAACTTCTCATAGTTTGAATTTGGATTCCACACAAGGAAGAGCTTGAATTTGACCACAGAACTTATAAAGTCAAGTTTTACTTGTGTTTTTTACTGATTGGATCAAGTTTCATTGACCAAGTCTAGATTCTAGGGCAAGCTAGCACATGATGGATTGCTTAAGTTTGCCACAGCTTTCTGTGAAGCCACATTTGATCACTGGAATCCCATTCACTGAGTATTGTGTTATTCGTCATGATAGGAGGCTAAATTTAGTATACAAAAAAGGTTCTGAAAACAAAATGGCAGTACTGTCCAAGTACAAGTTATGAATAAACAGTTAAATATTTTATTACTTTCTTTTATGTTTAATTTCATCGTAAATACTAAATATTTCATTATTTTCTGCAGAAGTAGATGTTTCTAAAAATGAGGGTTATCAATTTATTAAAACTAACACTAGGGGGTTAACATCTTTCATATTTGTTTTCTAATGTATGATGATCTCACACTTGCAAAATCATGGCATTTCAAAGTAGTTTCTAAGTATAGACCAGAATCGTGGGCTTCCTGTACTGAAAACACCAATAGTAGTGCTCATAGCAGAGGTGCCCCAGTAAGGGCTCCCATTGGTGATGAGCTATCTTACAATTTGGCACAGACCTGTCAATTTCTCTGTGATTTGTGACTGCTTAAGAAAGTCTGAAGATGGGGCTGGGAAGGTGGCTCAGTGGTAGAGCGCTTGCCTTGCATGCCTGAGGCCCTGGGTTCGATTCCTCAGCACCACATAAAGAAAAAAGCTGGAAGTGGCGCTGTGGCTCAAGTGGTAGAGCACTAGCCTTGAGCTGAAGAGCTGAGGGACAGTGCCCAGGCCCAGAGTTCAGGCCCCACGACTGGACAAAAAAAAAAAAAAAAAAAAAGTCTGAAGATCTAAGTTACTGTTTTCTCCTTTGGTCAGTCAGACTACCATGTTGTGCTTGGTTGATAAAATAAAGGTGGAATATTCCCTATATTGTGTTTGCCATCATACCCACTACTTAATGTAGTTGTTTTAAAGGCTTTTTTGACTATTCACTTTTAGCATCATTTTCTTTTTTGTTTTCATTACCTTTAAGTAGTTACACAAACGATTTTTCCATTCAATAAAGTTTATGAATACATTGAGCTGAGAAGGTGGCTCAGTGGTAGTGCTTGCCTTGCATGCATGAGGCCCTGGGTTCGATTCCTCAGCACCACATAAGCAAAAAAGCCAGAAGTGGTGCTCTGGCTCAAGTGGTAGAGTGCTAGCCTTGAGTTGAAGAGCTGAGGGGACAGCGCCTAGGCCCAGAGTTCAGGCTCCATGATCAGCAGAAAAAAAAAAAACAACAGTTTATGAATACAGTGCATCTTGATCAATATTCTCCCCTATCCTTTCCAACCCCACACTTTCCCTCAGTATTTTTTTAAGTTTGTGGAATCTGCATTGAATTTTATGACTGTATTTCTTCCACTTTCAGACAATTATGACTTAAAAATATGTTTTTGCATTATCAGGCTCTGGCAAAACAAGCCAAAATTGATTTTGAAGAACAAATCTTCAGAGAAAAGGAAATTCATGAGAAGATCGCTGTAGAAAGGGCTCAGGCTCGTTATGAAAAGCATTATACAATTTGTGGAGAAATTTTGGATCAAATACTTGATTTGTCCACTAAAGTGGCAGACTACCGGATGCTGACAAATAAGTGAGTAAAGATAATGTGATATGGAAATACCCCCAGACAATGAATAAGGTGGGATTACAAGGTAGATTGGAGGATTCTAAAGGAGGTAAAAGAATTTCATGAGAGGGCTGGGAAGTTGGCTCAGTGGTAGAGCGCTTGCCTTGCATGCCTGAGGCCCTGGGTTCGATTCCTCAGCACCACATAAGCAAAAAGAAAAAAGTCGGAAGTGGTGCTGTGGCTCAAGTGGTAGAGCGCTAGCCTTAAGCTGAAGAGCTGAGGGACAGCACCCAGGCCCAGAGTTCAGGCCCCACGACCAGACCAAAAAAAAAAATAATAATTTCATGAGAAAACAAGTTCTAAGAAGTAGTATAGGAGATTGTGCTTACTGAGTTGATTCACCTACCAGCTAGCATTATTTCAGGTGCATCTGTATATTTTTCCATTTAAAAAATTGTATCTAAATCATTTGTGATTTATGAATACATTTATAATAATTTATTTGAAATAATTGGAACTTCCAGAACAGTAAATCATCTGATTTACAACTAAATGATGTATTTTCATTTCATCTTATCTGGGAGGAATCAATATATTTGCAAGGAAATACCAAAAAATATTTCTAAACTGAATAAGCCAACATAATAAGCAAGGAAAATTGAAATTAAGACAGGATGTTAAAAATAAGGAATCATAAATATGTAAAATTTTATCTATGTGGCCTTGATTATAGTCATCAATACAGTATTCTCTAAATAAATAAAATAATAAGGAATAAATTGAAACACAATTATATAAGCATCAATAGATTTCTGAGGTACTGCAGCTGAGCTTGCTATTTGGCAAAGGACAAAAGGAAATGCAAACTGTCACATTAGTTCCATTTCCATCCCAGACACCTACAAAATATAAAGATTTTGTTGTCTGGTTTAAAACCCCCATTTTCTCATGTGATTTCAGGAAATAAATGGCTCAGTGCAGCTGATCTAGTAGGGAAAGTCTTCAGCATTCTTGCAAGCAAATTTAATATATGGTTCCTAGGTCTATTTCTTGTGGTGTCCTTTGCTGCAAATTTGAATAGAATGACACTTCAGAAGACCTAAGTGAAAGCCATTCCATCAGAACAACTCTAGCCCTCAAGCCTCCCAGGCTGAGGTCTTCTCAAGAACTTGCAATATAAGGAATAAAAGCCAAATGGCCTATAGGGTTCAAAGGCAGGAGATAGATAGAGAAAATATCTGCTCACCCTGGCTTGTTAAAAAGGGTTTTTGTCCTTCTACTATGGCCAGTGTCTAGACCATTGCCATATAAACTCTTTTAAATGAAATATCAGGACATTTTGAAGATAAAACTATTAAGCTGTAACATCAAACAATTTACACCAAAGAATAAAAACATCGAGAAAGGTATGAAGGTATAAATATGCTTTTTAGGTTCATATAATTCTAAATACCCCAAAATTATAAAAGCACAGTTATGAAGAAGTTGACACAGAGATCTTCATAAAAAGATTCTAAAAAGGAAAAGTCAATGATAGACTAAATTACAGAAAACTAAACAATAGAGTAAATTACAAAAAAAAGCCAAGAAGTACAAAATAGAGCAGACTGGTTTATTTAAATGAATAAGGCCTGTAATTTAAAATTAATACTTAAAACAAATCTCATTTTTCTCTGAAACAAGGGAACAAATGAAATTTATCTGTATTCCTTCTACTAATGACAACAAACCCCTGGATATTATGAAACACAGATGATAAGACTGATAGCTAGAGAGCTATGTGACTAGTCTTCAGGATGAGAAATAGTGGTATGCTTCTTGGGTTTTCTTTTGGCTTCTGATAATCCAAGTCAGACCTGAATATTCTAGCAGCAGATATATCACTGGAACAGATTGCTCAGAGAAGGGACAGGCTAACAGGATAAAAAAACTTTTAGATAATAACAGAATAGAAAATTTATAGAGACCTTGAACAACTGTCATTTTACAATTTCAAACCAAGAGAAAAGTAGGGAAGTAGAAATTTCAACCTCGTGTAGCAAGGCGAGCTGGTAGTTTTGGAGTCTTGCTGACCGCTGAGCTTCACCTGGGTCTTCACTTTATGTCTTTCACCCCATAGAGAGGGCTGGGAAGGTGGCTCAGTGGTACAGTGCTTGCCTTGCATGCCTGAGGCCCTGGGTTTGATTCCTCAGCACCACATAAGCAAAAAGAAAAAAGCCAGAAGTGGCGCTGTGGCTCAAGTGGTAGAGTGCTAACCTTGAGCTGAAGAGCTGAGGGACAGCGCCCAGGCCCAGAGTTCAGGCCCCACAACCGGACCCAAAAATCAAAATAAAATAAAAAAAGAAAATTTTTAGAGAATGACTGCTCAATTATGTTCAAATATACAGATTAAAAGAGTAACTTCACATCTACTAATACCGAAAAAGGTCAGGCAGGATACCTCATCTCCCATCCTCTCAGAGCTGTAGCAAGGAGACTCCAGTGCAGCTTCCAAGTTGGTGACTGAAATAATTAAGGAGGAAGCATGGGCTCCACTTAAGAATGGCAGGGCCTTCTTTTCATGAAAAGCATCCATGGCCAAATGCTTTGAGGAACAATTATAAACACATCTGACACAAACAGAGAAAAATTGGCTTTACTCAAAACTTTAGTCGTAGCAAAGACCCAAGATAAACAAGAAGCAAATGGCAATTTTATGATTGAAAAATACAATAACCAAAAGAAAGAGCTCAGTGGTTGGGCTTAATGGCAAAATAAAAAAGATATTTAAGTAAAATAAAAAAAATAGAATTACAGAAATTGCCCCATCTGAATATAAAAAGGAGTAATTAGACTGAAAATAATTAACAGAGCTTTGGGGACTGGTCATTCATGCTCTGTTAGTCTGTTTTCCATGTGAAAACCCATTATAATTAAATTTCTGAAAATTGAAAAAGAAAACCTCATCAAAACACTCAGGAGATTACAACAGTTATCTTTAAGAGTAAACTAATTTAAATGACAGAAGATTTCTCCCCAGAAACCCTGGAGACCAGAAGGAAGGTTTACAGTACTTTTTAGTTGCTGGAAGAAAGACCTCTCAACCCAGGGTCCTGTACTCAGTGGAAATACACTTCATAAATGAAGCAGAAATCAGTATTGCAATTGTGGTAACAAAGAAAATTTGGGGGCAGCATACTTACCTTTGAACGAACAGCTGAAGAATGTTCTGTAAACAGAAATAAAGTTACTTTTCAAAACAAGAAATCAGAAAGGAGGAAAGACTCAGTGTGCAAAATGCACAATAGAATTTCCTTTGCATTTTGTGAAGGCAGTTTAGCAGTTGAAGCAAAATTGCTAACATTGTTTGATGGAGTTCTGAATGTATACAAAGGAAATATTTAAGAGTTATTGTATAAATAGATAAAAATAAAGGAATCTAAAGGAAACTGGTATCATTCTGATAGTAATAGATGGAATAATGCCCAGCAAAGAGAAACATTCTAAAACAGAAAAAGAAATTAATTATTTACATAATATGATGGCAGGAAAACAAAAGATCCCACAAAACATAATGGAAATGATAGAGTTAAGCCCTAATATAGTAATTATATCTCTAAATATACCAGTTAGAGGACAGAGTTTGAAAGAGTGGGTTTTAAAATGTGATCAAACTATATGCTGTCTATGAGAAACTCACTTAAATATGATATAAGCAGGTTGAGGGTAAAATAATGGAAAAGTTCCTAACATGCAAACAATCAAAAGAACGGGTGTATGATTATATTGATATCAAGTAAAGTAGGCTGCAGAGCAAAGATAATCATGACACAAAGAGGGACATTAAGTGATATAAAAGAGTCAAAGCATCAAGGAAAAAACAGAACTATAAACTATAGACAAGAAAAATGGATAGGGGCTGGGAAGGTGGCTCAGTGGTAGAGCGCATGCCTTGCATGCCAGAGGCCCTGGGTTTGATTCCTCAGCACCACATAAGCAAAAAGAAAAAAGCTGGAAGTGGTGCTGTGGCTCAAGTGGTAGAGCGCTAGCCTTGAGCTGAAGAGCTGAGGGACAGCGCCCAGGCCCAGAGTTCAGGCCCCATGAGCGGACCCAAAAAAAAAAAAAAGAAAGAAAAGAAAAAGAAAAAGAAAAATGAATAGAACTGTATGCAAATGGAAAGATCCATAATTGTAATTGGAGACTTAGACAATTGTAGGCAATTAGAAAACCAACTAGGATATAGAAGAATCAACACCCCAACCAATCAGAATCAACATTATAAACACATCTCAGAGTATACATGAACTTATTGCAAGATAGACCATATACAACCTGAGCAAATTAAAAATATCTCATGTCAGAAAGTATATGTCCTTTGACCACAGTGGAATCAAAACAATAATGTAAGGAGAAAAAAATCTCCAAGCATAAGGAAACTAAGGAACACACTTCTAAATAAATATTGGATGAAAGAAGAATGCTCAAGGGAAATTAAAAGTGCATTTGGATGAATGAAAATAGAAACACAAAGTATCAAAATTTTAAGGGCATAGCAGAAAGGCTGCTAGCAGATATTAAGAAAAGTTTTAAATCAATCATCTAAGCCCCCATATCAGGAATCTAGAATAAGAAGAAAAAAATAAATTCAAAGAAGAAAGGAAAAATGCAATGAAGTGGCCTATACATAAAATTAAAAATAAGCATATGAACAAAAAGTGTAGAAAATTTGATAGAAGCAAAGAACTGACTTTTTAAAAAGATTAATAGCTCCGAAAAACACACTAGTAAGACAACCAAAAAACAGAGATGATAGAAATTATTGGTATCAAGAAGAAAGTTGAGGATATGTCCATTGGCCCTTTTTTTAAAAAAAGGTTAATAAGAAAATAGTATGCATAACTGAGCACACTTAAATGTGTCAACTTGAAAGAAAAGGTTCAATTCCTATCAACAAAACACAAACTACTACTAATGATATAATGAAATTGGTGTTTGTCAGGTTTAGCTTTATATTGAGTATTGAGTTTATAATTTAACAACTCTCC